GTAAAATTTTTTAGCTGGGCTCTAATTTGAGTGTTTAGAGCCTCGGCCCTATATAAACTTTTCCCTTTATGTATTTCTTTAGACCCTGTTTCGATCCTGGGTTTTACAAAACCCTTTTGAAAAACCCACGTTTTGACCCCAATTCCCTCTTTGAATGGAATATTTTCCTCTTAACATGGGTTTTTAATATCCCCGTTTTTTACTGATTTTGGGGATTTCAACCTTCCAAAAAAGAGTTTGAATTGCTTGAGACCCAAGTTTTCAGAGGACTTGGTTTTGGCTTCCAAACCTTTAGGAAAAGTACCAAATGGCCCTCAATGGAGTCTTCTCTGTGTATAAAATAATCCCCTTGGTGTTTCTCTCTACCTGTCTGAAAAAACCACAGTTTTTGGGCCAGAATCACGGCTGAAAATATGAATCTTCTGTATTTTGGCCAGAAACTTTCTCCACAAATTCTTATCCTCCATATTTTGGCTGGAATCAATGCTGACAAACTCTGTTGCTCTGATTTTTTCTAGAATCTAGGCAGAAAATATGAAGCTCTATTACTTTAACCTGAAATCCTTGTTGGAAAATTTCTATACCCTGCTTTTGGCAGGAAAATGTGAAGCTTTCTCTGGTATGCTAATTGTCTTCCATTCAAGTGATCTTGGATCGTGCTTTACTGCTTCTTGGAATCCTCCACCTTATCAGGACTTTTACTATTCAATTTTTATAATATTAGGACTGAATCCCTTCATTTTGTAACATTAGGGCTAAACTCCCCCAGTATTATGATATTGGGAAAACTGTTGCTAGCTTTGGTTTCTTTTAAGGCTTGGAAGCCATGGCTTCTAGTTATGCATGCTTCTAGCTTGGAAACAATATTTTTTGAGAAAGTTTACTAAGCTTGGAAACAATTTTCATGGTGAGAAATGAGGCATGAATGACTTGAACTTTCAATAAACAAATATTTTGCAGTCACAGAGTTGCAAGGAATATAATGAGACATACAGTCAATGAAAGAGGAAAATGCAGAGTGTTTCTTCAAATTTTTTTTTTGAATTCATCTTCTATGGCAGTAAACCATGAATAACTGAGAAAACTGATTAAAGATCGATGTAGTGATATTTTTGGACTATGATATTCAACAATTAACCCCAATCCAAGGAATTTTTGTCTCCGAATATGATGGAAACGTTATTGGAAAATGAGAAAAAAATGGGGACTTTTGAACTTCGGCTTAAAATAGGGTGGAGAGAGAGAGAGAGAGAGAGAAGCAGTTGGGGGTTTCATTTTGGGTATATAGATAGAGAGTGAGAGAAGCCTTTCTTTTAGAATTAATCTTTTAAATAAGGTTATTTTGGTCCATAAATTAGTGAAAACGCTATCTTAAGTTTTTTTTCTAATGAAAATTTTAGGATTTACTAGTTGTTTGTTTCACTAAAAAACTAGTTAGTTTTTAGTCTGTCTGACCCAGCCAAATGGGTTATGTTTGTTATCAGTTTGGTTGTTTGTCATTAATTTATGTTTTCTGTTCTTTATCTTGGGTTTGAGATTTATCACCAATCAACTTTTGGGGATGAATAGATCTTCAAAGAAGGAAAAGATAAAAATAAATAAATAAAAGTCCATTGAGTTGTATTATGAATGTTCTTTCCCAAATTTGGTTGTGTAACTTTGCATATCTGATTCCTAGTTTATGTGAAGATGATAAACTAATTTTCTTCATAATCTCGATCTTATGAATTGACTGAAATGACCCATAATTTGAATACAAATTTGAAAATACAAAGGAGAAGAAAATGCCAAATTTAGGTATTTTTAAAGAAAACAATGGGATGGGAAGTAAATCGAGGTGTAGTAGTTTGAGATTTATCACCAATCAACTGCTGGGGCTGAATGGTTTAAAAAAAATAAAAAAATAGAAAAAATAGATCCTTAAAAAGGAAAAAACAGAAGAAACAATTTAAGGAAATTAATAGATCCTCAAAAAATAAAAGAAATGAATGGCCCTTACAACTTAAAAATCATGTAAGTAGAATGTTAAGAAAAAAGCAAATAATGGTATCCTTGCAACTTGAGCCGAGACTATCAAGGCAAAGGCAAGTTTTTGCAAGCAGGTGACTCCAAACAGTTGAAATATTAAACTGGCTTTCATTCATTTACTATCCAATCAGCATATACCCAAAATCCAGGTTTAAAATTTCCCAGAAATAGAAAAGTTTTGAATTAAACCCAGGTTTCAGATTCTCCTGAAGTCAAAGAGGGCCTAAGAAGAATGTCGCATTGATATATGTGTTAAAAGATGAAGAATTTCAATGGAAGAAGCTATACCTTTCACCAGCGAGCTGTGGTTCTTCTCGTTAATATGTTACCCCATTGCCACTAGGCTATTGTGTGCTTTCAGGTAATAGCTTAATTGCCTGGAAAATCAGTAAGCAAAGAGTAGTTGTTAGATCAACTGCTGAGTATGGAGCAGTGGCTTCTCCTCTTGGTGAGCTGTTTTGGCTGAAATATATGATTCAAAATATTAGAAAGTTTGATGAATATGTTGACTTGTTCCACACTACTATGATCGTTTTACACAGTGCCTCAAAGTCATTTTATTATGAATCTTCCAAATACATTAAGTCTGCCTTTAGAGGTACCGTTGGCAGTCTTGTTACAAATACGATTTCCTATAGGAACATTGTTTGTACCGTAGGAAGTCTTGTTACAAGTACGATTTCCTATAGGAACACTGGCAATGTTTAATCTGTAGCTCCAACTTTAGGGTTAAGGTTGAATGTCATGTGTTTCATTATTCATTAAGCACACTGCCTTTTCGTATATGTGTTGAATATATGTATTGTAGTGTGTGTGGATGTAATTCTCTTTTGTAAACTATAATGGCAAGTATGTAATTATGCCCTTTGTGGTCCTCTGAATGTGTACCTTAATTAGGGCTTATGAAAGCATTCTCAACAATGTCCAATACGTGCTTTCAATTTATTGGTCTTTCGAGGGCTCCTGATAAGTTTTTTGAGAATTTAGGAGTTTCAATTGCTTCCTAGTAGTTCTGGGAAGATTGAGAGTTTTTTGGTTACGTAACATGTGTGCTAGGGGCTTAGTCTTTCTTCCCTGGAATGCTGGTCAGCTATTGATGACGATTTGTGGAGTTTATACTAATTGACTTAGTGAGAAGCCCATGTAAGAAATTAGGTCCCTCTGTGCATTGGGTGATTGACAAGTTAGCACAAGTCGAAGGATGCAGCTCATAAATGATCAAGGGATCCCAAATTGCTGAGATCTAAAAGCTTGAGGACTTGAAATCTACAGACTACACCATCCCTTTTGTCTATGATAGATTGATTATTGTTGGCAGTACTTTGTCATCATGCATGGTATGGATTATAATTATGGTGGTTTTATATGACCTTATGAGTATCTTTGTTAACATTCGAATAGGATTGGTACATTCCCAATTTCTAATCTGCCAGCTCATATACCAATAGAAAAAACAAAAAGAGAGGTGGGGCATTGGGAGCTTCGTGTTGGACTTGCAGTTCACATTGATTAATTCATCCTCAGTAGGGCTAAGTTCCACTTCTAAGATCTCAACATATGAGATCTAAGGGACAATCATGCAAGATTTGTAGCTATTGCAAACATATCATTAGTTACAAAGATTCCTCCCTCTTACAGGAAAAGAATGGTGGTATTTGGGGCTTAGTTGATGGATCAGTAGCTGCCTCCTTTCTGAAGTGAGGAGCTCAGTGTTACATGACACAAATGCTAGCGTCGTGTCCAACACGTACTACAGTTGTCTAGTTTGTCAGCCAAAAACTGTACTAGAGTCCAACATGTGCATATGCTTAATTTTCTAAGACAACATTATAAATATGACGATATAAATAATAGTTTCCCATCTTTGTACAATGCCGACTTTTACCGGTAGATCCAACTGTTTTTCTTCTAAAGAAGCCATGTTCGAACTTGTCAGGCCTATTTTTTGCTCAATCCGGAGTATCCAGTGTAGTTTATTGACGACACGTGCCCTTCTGTCGATTCAAAACACCTGTACATGTGGCATGCATTGAGGTAACAGTAACACTGGAGGAGCTAACCTTATGTGTGCCTGGGTCTGATTAGATTAAAACCAGATCACATACCTGCCCGTTCAGATGGGTTGCAATAAGATTGGTTTGATGTTTGAACCTCATTGAGTTTAAACAGGATACTGTAGCATGGCATTATAAACCTCATCTCTGAACTCTCAGTCAGTGTGCAAAAACCAGGCTCGGGATTGGGACTTGGTCACTGCTCGTGCCTAGTAACTTGGGCGAGTCCGAATGGACTCACATGAGTCCTGCATTAGCCCAAAAAGAGTTCAAAAATTGCCAAAAAGAAATGCAAAAAATGTGTTAAATCTGTATGGCACACCATTTTATGTGACTCGAATGGCAATATGAGGATCAAGGGGGTGACTTTTGTATTAGCATCTCACACTAAAATATATCATTTCCATCAAAGTGCTTTTCTTGCCTTTGTTTTTTTTTTTTCTTGAAGCATAAATTCTATTTACTATCTCTATTATCAAAACAGTAAATCAATACATTGAAATGATAACATGAGTCAGGAACATTGGGGCCATTATTTCCTAAGTTGGATCCTGCAACTAAGCAAATGGGTGGGACCTATACTTCTTGATGGAAGAATTGAGGATCTGGATGTCTCAAGCTTATGGGAAGCCGCATACTTTTAGCTTCTATAGTCATTCTCTTCAATGTATAGTTCCTTTCATTACAATATGTTAGTGACGTTCCGCTTAGTCACCTTTCTATATATAGACTTGATTCTTTGCTACTCTCTCTTTCAATAATTCTTACAAGATAGAGGTCCTTTGCCATAAACTGTACTTATCATCAGGAAAGCGAAATTCGGCGTTTTGCTGGAACAGTTCCAAACGCGGTGACATCAGGAGACATAGAGAGCATGGCCATGTATGCCGGTGATGGTGTAGGTCTCATCAAAGAGATCTTACCTGCCGGTGAAGTAGTGAGAAGGTTAGTTGAGGGTGCACAATTATTAATCCAGCAAGGCTTGCAAGGTGATCTCTTAAAATAAGCATCTTCTAGCGGACGTACCAGAGGACTAGGAAAGAGCTCCCCCAAATGCTCACGAATGATTTCTTTCTCATAACCTTTACTCTATAGTTGTCACTCTATATTGAAAGAGGCGGTCCTTGTATCAATGTGCAACATGTATGTGCAACTACGATGTATTTCTGTGGTTTTTTGTTTTTTTAGTGGGGATGGGGTTTTCTACTTGTGATAAGAATGGAACTCAAGAGGTCAGGTGTAGTGTACCGCCACTTTGACCAACGCACTTTGCACCCATTCCTACGTATTTATGCAGTCATATTTTATGCATACATGAATATATAGAGATCTTTGCCCGTCTCTGGTTTTGGTTTGCAATGTGGCAGGTCATTGTCCCTGTCCACAATTAATGGGTATTACTACTTGGAATAAATCAGTGTTTTAAGAAATGGATCGATCAACGTTCGGGCGCATCGCTCTGGCTTAGGCGGATGTCTTTGGGCGTCCGCTTGGGCGGCCTGAGGGGCGAATGTGGCTCTTTGAAGGTGTTTTTTAATCATTTTTTTTAAATATTAAATGGGCAAAATTGTGGGGTTGAGGTTATTTGAAACTTAAAATCTATTTGAAATTATTTTAGAGAGAATCAAAACAAATTATTGGGCCACATAGGTTTTGGGCGCTGGCAGCCTAGACTCCCGACCATCTGGGTGCCACGGTGCTTTTTGCGACATTGGAATAAATGTTTTTGTTTTTTTCATTGTTTTGCACATGTTTAGCACGTGTACAAGTTATTAATGTGAAAGTTCCTCGAGGAATTTCAGTATTTTCTTTGGGTGGGCAAGTTTTAATTATGACATATGAGAATGAAACAAACAACTGGGAGAAAAAACTAATCCAAGCAAAAGGGAGGGGCGGGAGGATTCGATGCTACTTCATTCGGCGCCCTCTAACCCTATGTTCAATTAAAAAGAGATAAAAACAAAGAAGTAAATAACTTAGCAAATAAAAAATAGAAAACCTGTACGAACATGTTGTTTGCAAAAAATAAATAAAGGCATTGTTTTGCTGGTTTATTTATTTATTAATTATTAATTGGGAAAACTGAAAAGTTGTACTAAAAAATGGATCAATGACCTAGATTGCCAATGCAAACAACATGTTCGGATTGGAGATCTGAGCCAATCAACCAATAAAAAATTAACAAATATGAACAAATTAAAAAATTTAAAATAATAAACAAATAAATGGTGGGATTGCATCAGTCGGTTTTTTGATAGAGCTTATTAGTTCTTAATAGATAGTGAGAAGTGGATTGGATTCATTGATTCTCGATTAGGATAGGGCAATTTTGATCGAGATGAGTATTTTTTAAGAGAATTATATATAATGAGACGATTTACTTTTGATGCAAGGAGGTCATAATCATTATTGACAGTTGGATATGAAGTTGGGTGGTTGAGGATGTTTTATTAATTGAGCCCAAAGTCTAAAAAAAAAATTTTAAGTGTTGTAGCACGCTCAAGTTTCTTGGATTTCACATGGAATGGCTGAAAATCATTATGGCCTTATGTACACAATCTCCTTTTTCAAATCTAGTAAAAAGATTTCATTCTCCTGTGGCCCATAGGAGCAATACGGTTCATTTCCTCCCTCGAGCAATAAATTTGATTGTAAGCCAAAATTTCAAAGAATAAAAAAGGCCTCCCAATATCCCGTGGTAGAGTTGCGGCTCCCGCGGGAACATGCTATTACGCTCAAAGCAACTTATTTTTGTTGTGGAGTAAAAATCCTAGAGCGGAACAAGGAAACAAAGTATGGGACCTGTAGTGTAGAATAAGAAAAGTCAAACTATATTATGGTCCTGCAGGATTCATTTACTAATATAGGCCCACCTTTAGGGCTAAAAAATTTGGGGATGTAACCTCCTCAACCCATAGACTTATCGAGATAAAAGAATTTTCCAAATCGCACTCTCTATATGCTTAAATAAATAATGCCTCAACATTGAATAAAAACCATCCAATTCTTGGAGGGTGAGGCTCAGTGTAAAGAACTCAAAAAATTCAATACTTTGGTGATCAGTAAAATTTCATATTAAAAAAAAAAATCCTCTTGAATAGGTCTTCTCAATGTTGTTGGATTCGTTTCGGAATCTCTTTTGGTTTGGTGAGAAAGATGAAGCAATTTGGTGCTTCAGCCGATTTGGAGAAACTTCGGACTTTTATTTTTAAATTTAGTATAAATATATTAGATATTTATATATATAATATATACAAAAAATAGAAATATTTTTTTTAAAAAAAAAACGTTTATATAGCTATTTCTTTGCTGACCGAAGCGGACCAGAGCAAACCCAAAGCATGTCTGAATATGCCCGAAGCGGCCTGAATATGACCGAAGCGGAAGCCCCATGCTTCGAGTCTCTTCGGGTTATGCCTAAAATCTGAAGACTTCAGCCTCTTCGTCAAAAGTAAAGCGAATTTAATAACATTGGGTCTTCTAACCGAGGGAGTAGATATAAACTATGCTCCCACGTAGTGGTGGCAACGGGTCGGGTTTGGCTGCACCTAGACCCAAACCCAAACAGTATTTGGGTCCATGTTTTGAACCCGGACCCGACCCATCGGGTCCAAAAGTTAGATCCATATCCATACCCATCAGGTCTCGAGCCTATCCCATCGGGTCCCAAATCTGGTCAGGTCCATTGCCACTATCACTACGTGTTTTTTTTTTTTTACCTTTTCTAACTATCATAGCTATACTATTGAAAACAAGGTCACAATCACCAACCGTTAGATTTCAAGCCATGTGATTTGTTGTTTAATAACTAAATATAGCATTGAGTTCTTATTGTGTACGATCTCTTTAATACATCCAAGCGAATAGGGCTTAAAATATTTTATCTCCAATAGTTTACGGGTACGGGTCGGACCCAGACCCAGACCCGAATAGTATTCAGGTCTAAGTTTTGGATCCGGACCCGGACTCGACCCATCAAGTCCAAATGTTGGACCCATACCCAGACCCGTGTCGGGTAAACCCAAGGTCAAGTCCGGGTCCATTGCCTGAGAGATGAGGAGAGAGAAAGTAAGCTTGGAAAACCAAAGGCTGCCATCGCCTTTTCTCCCTCATTCTTCAAGTCGTTGCAGGCTTTTTTAGGTGCCCAACCATGACGAATAGGAAGCGAAGGGTTCAATCATGCCTTTTTTTTGTTTTTGGGTAAATGAAGGGTTCAAATTCAATGATGGTGCATTAAGGAATGTTAATTTTTCCAAAAATCTTGCGTTATCCCAACCAATGCAAAACCCCAAAGCGCCACGTGTATAGCTCACATGTGAACTTTTGTACTACTTTGTGTACCTAGTACAGACTGACTATTAGAGCAGCCACTACTTTTGAAACAATGTGCTATCCAATGCCTTTAATTTGAATTTAGATTTTCCTCTATGGAGCTTTTTATCTATTTTGTTGTTCTGATAAGAAGAATTCCTAACGGAAAGGCCTAGGGGGCTGAGCCCACATTCTGATATCTCTTAACAAAACGCCATCAAACTTGCATCCTTCTCTAGGAAATTGTCATCTTGCCCTTTTTTTTTACTAACATTATCTTGCCCAATATTGATAATAGGTGTAAGGCATGGGCTAGATGGCCTGGCCCAGCCCTAAAAAAACTAGGCCTAATGGCTGGCCCGCTAAGACCACGACATGGTTGGCATGGTCACGCCCGACCAGGTCTTTTTTTCGTTTAAAAAATTACTCTTCTTTGATTTATTATTCTTTTTATCTAATCAGGCTTGGCCCGCCCCGCCCCGCCCCGCCCCACCTCGCCTTATAGAGGTGGGGCTACGGTTGAGAATTTACCCAATTCCGATCCGAAACCCAAAATTCGGATCCTATCTGGATTTGAGTATGGATCCAGATCCAAAATCTAGACTTGAATTGTCATTTGGGTTGGATTCGGGTATAGGTGGATCCGATAAAGATCGACCCATTTTTTTAAAATAATATATAGTATTTTATATATATACATATATATGTTATAATTTATGTATGTATTAAGGGTGCGGTTTGTTAGAGCCTAGGTTCTAAAAAATCAAATTAGAGCCTACCTTCAAATAGTGTCGAGAAATTTGGTTTTAGTACTGAAAATCTTTATGATAGTCTTAAAATATATTTTTATCATTATTTATAAAGTTTAAAGCTTCAAAAATGGTGTAGATCAACAAATCTATCAAAACTTGAAAATCTTGAAAATTGACGGTCCAAAAATGCATTACAAAATATACTATTTTGAAAACTTGAAATCTATTTTTTCTCATGTCCATGCATCTTAATGTCGAGATGATCAATTTGAGGATATTTGGACATCAAAACAACCTCTTCTAGTGAAATTTTTGTGATAGGTTCGAATTTGATTGTTGAGAGCCTCGGTTCTATATAAATATTTCCCATTTATTAATAGGAAAGCATATAATCAAACCATTTACTTTGATACAAGGTGGTCATAATAAATCATGACCATTGGATGTGAAATTGAGTAGCTGTAATTATTCCATTGACCAAGCTCAAACTACAAAAGAAATTTTCTCGAACTTTGTGACACATCCAAGCTATCAAATTCCACATCAAATGGTTGTAAGGAATTGTGACCGCCTTGTATCAAAGGTAAATGATATCATTGTATATAATTATTTTAATCTTTATAATTAAGGATTGTTTACAAAGTGACCATTTATCTTTTGTACATAGAGGTCACAATCATTCTTGTCCCTTAAATTTCAAAATGGTGGTTGTAAGGTAAATAGTATCCTTGTATACAATCCATTTATTAGCTTATATATACTTATTTTAATCTTTATAATTAAAGATTATTTACAAAGTGACCATTTATCTTTTGTACATAGAGGTCACAATCATTCTTGTCCCTTAAATTTCAAAATGGTGGCTGTAAGGTAAATAGTATCATTGTATACAATCCATTTATTAGCTTATATATCATTATTTTAATCTTTATAATTAAAGATTGTTTACAAAGTGACCATTTATCTTTTGTACATAGAGGTCACAATCATTCTTGTCCATTAAATTTCAAAATGGTGGTTGTAATACTGTCATTGAATAAACACAAAGTTTCAAAAAACATTTCTCAGTGAGTCACCTCAAGCCATCCAATTTGACATCTAATTAGCGCGAATGATTGTGATCTTACGTACAAAAAGATAAAGGAAAAAGTGTCTATAAGGTTGCAACCTTAAAATGTAGAATTAAAGATGCACTTCAAAATCCATCGTAAAAGGTTGTTTTAATATTGAAAAGTTCTCTAACTGATCATCTCGACATCGAGATGG